ATACAAAGGGACTCAAGACAGCCAGACACCCAGCTCTGGCTCTGCTGCTGTGAGAATGGTGTGCCTTTCAAGGTCTGCCTTTTAAAAGCTCACACCAGCCCTTGGAAGCTGGCCTTGGTGCGTGGTATTCTGCCTGGTGGCTGTGGCCGGGCCCTTCTGGTTGACAGTGCACACCTCACTGAGACAGGGATGGTTGTCTCAGATGGAGGGTTCTTTGCTCGTGCCTGGTGGGAGTGCCACCCCTGTGCCCAGTTCCCGGATGCATGAAAACAAGCCTGGCCTCATCTTTACGGAACTATGTCCTGGTGAGGGACATATATGTCACCAGACAGTAACAGAGCCAAGATGAAGTGTTCCTACAGAAAGGTACCTATGGGGCACCATGGGTGTGTGTGTGTGTGTGTGTGTGTGTGTGTGTGTGTGTGTGTGACAGGCTCCCATCCTGAGAACTGGAAGTGTGGCAGACACCGCTTTAGACCCTCGCTGCCTCCTCCAGCCAATGGAGAACTTCACTTCTGTTACACAATGGCTGAAACTGAGGCCTAGAGAGGTCTGTCCGTCTGTCCAAGTGCTGTGATTCCAGATGTGTCCATCTAACCATGGCATTCCCCTGCCTAGGCTCTGTACGTCCTCTGAGCTGGATCAGGGAGGGCTGCCCTGAGAGAGGGATGTAGGGATGAGCTCAGACAGTTAGGGTGGAGGCAGCTGCCAACAACGTTTGCGGGACGGAAGCATCACCAAGGGGTGCGTCTGATGAGTGGCGTGTTCAGTGACTCACAGGCACTCATGGAGGCACTTGAGGACCTGTGAGAGAGGAAGCCAGGAGGGCCAGGGCCAGGGTTAGAGCCAGGTGGAGCCTCCTGGGTCACTGGGGGTCTTGTGGGCCAGGGTAGGGAGTGTGCCTTTGTTTTCAGGGTGTGGGGATACACTGGGACTCTAACAGGGAGGGCTGGAGAAGCAAAGTCAAGTGTAGGGGCCTAGGGGAAGGCTGCTGGCCTCAGCAGGGGGCTCGCTCCAGTGTGGGCAGAGGAGGGCGGGCCTGAGAGACCCCTGGGGAGCGGCCAAGTGGGCGAGAAGACAAGTTTTCCCTGTGGTTTCAGACTTGTGGGCTGGCTGGAAAAACTCGGAGGCAAGGAGAGAACAAACTTTGGAGAGACAGGCCAGGCCAGAGGGTGAGAAGAGGAGGGGAGGAAGAGGGGAGGGAGGACAGGAGGAGGGGAGGGAAAAGGAGGGGAGGAGGAGGGGAGGAAGGGAGGAGGAGGAGAGGGAGGATGATGGGAGGAAGGAAGGAGGAGGACGGGAGGAGGAGGAGAGGGAGGAGGGAGAAACTCCAGGTTTAGACATCCCTAGTCTGAGGTCTTCCAAGTAGCCACGTGTGTTAGACTGTTCATGTGGGTTCCATAGACACAGATGAGGACTCCCTACTCTTAGCCCTAAGGCCTGAGGACTGGGGATCCCCAGCATGCGGCAACTGCCCAGAGAAGATGAAAATCCTAACGGGTTTTCTCTTAAGCTGCAGTGACCAGGAGAAATGAAGGGGCTTTTTGTAAGTGAAGTGCTTGTGTATTGGGGGCACTTTATGATTCTCTTTCTTTGCCTCTTCCCTCCCCCCTTTTTGGACAGGGTCTTTGTAGCTTAGCCTGGCTAGAACCAGTTGTGTAGCCCAGGCTGGCCTCAGCCTTCTGAGTGCTGGCATTACAGGTGCGCACTGCCACAACCCACTTCAATTCGTATTTTCTGTGTTGGTGGCGGAAGTGACTAATGCCCTGTGCACTGGGGGGAGACCCATGCTTAGGAAGTGGCCTCTTGCCTCTGCCAAGGGTGGAAGCAGGGGTGAGCTGGGGTGGGTGGGTGGGGAATAGGGAAACTTAGCCAACATCCTCTGTTGGTCCTCTTTGCCAGATTCTCTTGGCAAATCATGTTTGTGATCTTGGGCCTCAGGAAACCAATTCCTCTGGCCATCACACTGTGAAATTGCTCTTTGGGGGTGGGCATGGCTGGTGGACAGCAGCACAGAGGCCATGCTGTTCCTTTCTCCGTCTGGCAGAGTGGGCGGGTGGCACTGGGTGGGTGGCACTTGGTGAACGGGGTGGGGGGAAGGTTTAGGAAATCGGCCTGCTGCTGGCTCTTCTGTTTGTCTTTCTCTTCTCTGGCCCCAGGTCTGCACTCCGCTGGCCCTGCACTAGGGAACCCCCAAGGTCCCCATTGTTGTGACGATCCTGTGTCCCTGAGATCTTTCCCCCAGGCCAGATTGCCATCTTAACCATCCCCCTGGCTTGTACCCCAGTAGTCACAGTGGTTAGCACACTGAGGGCAACTCCCCAGTCTCTGCGCAGTGTTGAACTCTATGAATGTTAGCTCACTGGGACTTGATCCAGTTTAATGGGATCGGGTGTTAGATGTGCTAGGCTGGGAAGAACATCTTAGGCTCTTGTATCCTGCCCAGACCCCCTTTTTGTTCCAATTGGCTGGTGTAGTAAACAACCATGAAACTGGATATGAAATAGAAGGTGTGTGTGTGTGTCTGTCTGTCTGTCTGTCTGTGTGCGTGCACACGTGTTGGAAAGAGAAAGGAGAAAGGGAAAGAGGTGCAGAGAGGCTTACAAGGGAGAGAGGAAGGGAGTAAAGGAGGGAGGGAGGGAGGGAGGGAGAGAGGGAGGGAGG